ATATATGGGAATATGACAGTAAATACTAAATATTAAACATTATTGTGCAGCACATAAGATCAACAGAACACAGTGTGCTTTGAGGTAGGAGCCAAATAGGGTGTAGTTTGTGGGTGTGATCACCCGTGTGTACACCTGTGAGCATGGACGTTTGTTTTTTGTTTTTTAAAAGGTTCCTTCATGTAATGATCTGCTAGAGGGTGTGGGGGGGCCACAGCCCCGTCCTCCAGGGCATGAAGCAGCCTGGTTTCTTAAGTAAAGGATGTATGACTATGCTTAAACTCCCTAGGTACTTGACCAGACAAAAGACTAGTCTCCAAAAGTTGATTCTGTTCATCTGAACGTAGCGTTTTGTAGCTACGTCCAGAGGAACAGAATCAACTTTTGGAGATTTGCTTTCCTGGATGATTGACAATGCACCAAGACAAAAGACTAGTATTAATAATGTTCAGAATGTGTGGTCCGATGGTAGGAAATCCCTTTTTGAGAAAACGGGGAGGAACAACGTCATTTGGAGAGCCACACAGTTGAGCATTCAGCACAAGTTTCTCTAAATCAGGTAAAAGAATTGGTAGAATAGCAGAGAACAAACCTGAGCAAGAACCATGCATGGCTGGGTCAGCAATAGATAGAGTCAGAGGTCTCAAACTAGCAATCTTGTCCACAAAATAATTAAGAAACTTATTGCACATAACCTCAGAAGAGTGCAAAATAACATAGCCTTCTGTATTAAGTACAGAATTTCTAGATTTATATAGAACACGAGGGTTATGCAAGCTGGCAGCAATAAGTTGGGAAAAATAGGAGTGCTTGGCAGCCTTTACTGCTTTCTGATAGACTTTCCAGCTAGTCTTAAGAGCTTTCTCTTTTTTCCACCGTCTTTCACATCTTCTACATTCTTTTCTAGCGGCTCTGGTAAAATCAGTTAGCCAAGGAGCCTACGTCGAGGACAGATTTACAAGCAGAGTCCAAATAAGAAAATAGAAAAAAAGAATAAGAAAAAAAGAAAAGCAGCTCTTTACACCGGACCCAGGAGGGAAGGCAGCTTTACTTTGATAAAGTCAGCCAGGTCATTTCATCGTCTTCTGATCAGATTTAGCACTTCAACATTTAGTCTATAAATCTTAAAAGAAATTGTCCATAACCACAGCTTCTAATTCATTTGGTTTCTGAGTTCCAAAGACCCAGAAAACTGAAATATTAAATAATAAATAAATAATTTAATATAGAATAATATAACAATATAACATAATTTATTTATTTTTTGCTATTACTAATATCTAATTTTCCTTTAAAAGAAAATAAACCTGAAGAACATAAAAAAAGATATATTGATTACTGTCCTGATTGATTGATTGGCTGGTTATCTCCGTTCAAATCAAATCAAATCAAAATCAAATCACTTTTATTGTCACATCACATGTGCAGGAACATTGGTACAGCA